CACACACACAAAATGCATGCGCAAATGCAATATGTAAATGTGTAATATAGGGAGGAATTTCTTGTAAAAATGTGTATACAGTATGATCACATCATACATACATTTAATTGTGTGATTTCAGCCATATGCGGTTGAAGGCTGACTGGTTGAAACCGCACGAATTAAACACACAGGAGGCAGAGAGCTTAAAAGCTGTTTTTGTGTAGCATTTTCACAGAGTGGAAAGAGCTTTTAAACTCTCTGCTTTGCTTACCAGGCTCTGGGATACTCTTGTGGAAACTTGTGCAGCCCCACAAGATCTCGTGAGAATCACCCAGAGCCCATTAGGCATGTCAGAGAGCTTAAAAGTTCTATGTCTTGCTTGGGGGCAAGGTCTCCTTGGCTCACAACCAACTCTGGAAAGGTAAAGATGGTCACTTGGGGACAGTTCCAAGAGAATGGTTTGAGTATACAAGTTTTTGTCTACTCAGATTGTAGCCACCGTGCAATACTGTATTAGATAAAATTGTATAAAAACAAATCTGTTATACAAAAAACGAATACAAAATGTGTGCACATCGCCATGCAAACTTTTTGCATGCTAACAGATGAATGTGAGAAACGTAACTCAAGACTAGAAAGCTGAGGAAGGGAGAGAAGTCAGAATTTATGTGTCTTAGTCTGCTACATTGACCACTACGCTAGAAGGGTAGCATGGTCAATTGGGTGCTCTGGATGAGGTTGTACTCTATCAAAAGCTGCTGAGAGATCAATAAAGGACATCCAAAGCCAATTCAGTTCCATAACTGCACATAAACCCTAACTGAGTTGTCCTAAATGGATCAGGATAATCAGTGTTTCATCCAAGTGTTTTTCAACAGCCGCATGGCAATCCTCTGCATCACTTTCCCAAGAAAGTGACAAGACAGTAGTTGTCAGAAACCAATGGATCCACCGAGATAGGCTTCTTTAGGTCAAGTCACTGCTTCCTTCCATAAAGTTGGGACCACTCCTTCCCACAAGAATTCACTGCCACATCCTGGTTCCACCCAGTCCTATCCCTTCAGCAGACTTCAATCACCCAAGAGGAAAAGGCACAGAGAACACATGTGTAGTCACTTTGTTACAAGCAACTTGCCCAATGCCATCAAGATGCATCAACTGAAACTGATCAACTTTGCCATCAAAGTGCCTTGGAAACAAATCACAATGGGATTCTGAAGGGTCTAGAATTCCATTGCCTGGAACATAGGAGCCAACTCCTAGGGGCCAAGACCCCTTTGGCCCCCCAATAAAATATTTGAGGGGGCCTGCGCCTCCCCCAAGTTGATGGGCATTGCCATTCAAATGGTGTGTGTGCACTGAGTCATGTGATAAGTTATGTGGGGTGTGGCTTACCTGCCCCCACAGTGTTTTATGCAAGTTGGCACCCCTGACCTGAAGCAGAAGTCATTCGATCCTGGACATAAGAACACAAGAAGAACCTGCTAGATCAAGCCAGCAACCCACATAGTCCAGCATTTTGTTCTTACTGTAGCCAACCAAATGACTGAGAAACCCGCAAGCTGGACCCAAGCACAACAGCTCTCTCCCCTCCTGTGGCTTCCATCAATTGGTATTCAGAAGCAACAATACTTCCAGCCATGGAGGCAGAGTACATCCATCATGGCTAGTAGATAGCCTTATCCACTGTGAATTCATCCAATCCTCTTTTAGAGCCATCCAAGTTGGTGGCCACCATTGTCTCCTGCAATAGCAAGTTCCACAGTATGTCTAAGCACTACATAAAGAAGTTCTTTTTTTTTTGTCTGTCCTTAATTGTCCAACATTCTAACTTCTGTGTTATGGGAAAGGGAGAAAAACTTTTCTGTAGCCAGTTTCTCTGCGCCGTGCATAATTTTATAAACACTTATCATATGAAAGAAATACATTTGAGGATGCAATGGATGCAAATGAGTGGGCCTCCTCTTGAGATTGCTTAGTATTCTTGCATGTGTACATGTAGAATTAGACATAATTCTGCAGTGCAAAAGTCACATGGGCTTTGAATTACACTGTTTGGTTACTAAAAGGCTCCATTTTGCTGCAAACCACTATGTTCTCATTATTAGAGCAAGCACTTAGGTTCCATGGTTGCTCAGGAAATATATTCGTTTCAAAATGGGAAAACTGATTCAAATCTATGATTTAAATTTGCATTTTCTTTGTCATTTAAATCATGGTTTAAACAGTTGATTTAAATCACCTTTATTTAAATCAACCCATTCTGGTTTGCACTGATGGAGAAAATCAATTAGAAGCATCTTCAGTGTACGCCAAGTTCGGCATCACCATGGCTTCATGTTAGAATAATCAAATTAGCCTTCCACATTCCCTTCTCCTCTCCTACTTCTTTACACACAGAAAGCAGTTTCCTGTGACATCTGAACTATCATTTGTTCAAAGTATGATACTTTTATATCCTGGTCAGTTAACTAAATGTAGTTAGAACAAACCCCAGTTTTCCAGGCTCTGACATCACAGGAAACTGTGGTTAGCTCAAAAGATGTTTTCAGTCTTTTCTTTAATTTGTGGGGGGTATTGTGCTAGCAAGGATTGCCATGTGCTCTTGTTTACACAGACTGTCTGGTTCAAAGAGACCCTTAACAGTAGACCTGGAAGGCACATAGATCACCTGGTCACAGCCATCCTGACAATGGCAAGATTCTAGTTGTATATAAAGCATTACAATTACAGTCATACCTCAGGTTACAGACGCTTCAGGTTGCGTTTTTTCAGGTTACGGACATGCCGAAACCCGGAAGTACCGGAATGGGGTTACTTCCAGGTTTTGGCGGTTGCACATGCGCAGAAGCGCCGAATTGCAACCCGCGTGTGTGCAGACGCGGCGTTGCAAGTGCCTCCCACACAGATCACGTTCGCAACCCAAGCGTCCCCTGTATTTCCAAGTTTTTGACCATACATATAAATAAGCAGTTTTATATCAGCTTGTGTCCTCTTTTTTAGTGATGCTGTTTCTCTTTTTTGTTAGTGAGGACATAGCCACCTCAGGGCAAGTCCAAGGCTCACTCCCGTAATACTAACCCATGGTTTAGAGCTACTTCAGAGCCAGTGATATAGCATAGCAGTCATGAAATAATCCTTCCCAAGATCTGAGGCTGAATATTATCCATGGTTTATTTAAAAATGTTTATTTAAAAATGGGCTGAAGTATTGCCAACAATAAAATTTCATTCACAGTGGGAGTACTGTTGGCTGTAAAAAAAACACAAAGAAACCTCTCACTGGGGGCCTCCCCTGACATGCTTCAATTTTTTTTTGCATTTTGTCTGCAGTTGTTCACTGCCAGAATGATCCATTTGCCACAAGCATATGAATGTTTGGCAACATTTCCCCAGAACCAGGGCAAGTACCCCCTTCAGAGGACAAAGTCAAGCGCTGTCCAGTTGCCCTGGGAGAGGGGTGTGTCTGCACATGATCTAGGATGTATTTCTTGTCCCATGAAATGAGCAAACATCATCTAGTTCAGTGGCACCCTCCACAGTAAGACTGTGAGGTTGCAGAGGCTGTTTTAATTAAGCCTTGTGCTAAAGTTTTAATTTGATTTCAATAGATCACACTACATTTTTGAATATTGAGATTCAATGCAGGAAAAAGCCTCCAAGTGACTGTAGCAGGTGGTGTTTCCAGCAACTGTTGCAGTCACTTGCCTAGAACCCCATCTCATAGAATAAAAAAATTGAACCGAATCACAGAATTGTAGAGTTGGAAGGGACACAAAGAATCATCTAGTCCAACCCCCTGCAATGCAGGAATCTCACTTCTACAACCTGTGCACACCAACTCACCCTCTGTAGAAGCACTGATGACTTCTTGGATGCTAGTAAGTTTGCCACTAGAGCCTTTGGGCTCAGACCCACCCACCCCACACATTTGCAACACCCACCACAGTTTACCACAGATACCATCTTGTTTTTTGAGTTACAGGTTTTGCTCCATCGTACCCTTAACAACTTGATCACCATATTCCTGAGAAACCACCGTCTGTTGTTCTTATCCAATCACAATTGGCCAGGATATCAACCTGCACTCCATGTCCAGACAGGAAGGGCACTTGGAAACAAACTCTTAGTGGCTGCCTCCCAGCTGTAGGACTCTCTCTTGCAAAGGGACTTGCCAAGATATAAGAACCTAAAAAGAGTCCATCCAGCCAAGAACCCTCTCTACTACGGTGACCAGCAAGAGGCAGGGATGTGAAGGTCAACAATTTTCTCTTGTTCCCCAGGAACTGGTTTCCAGAGGGGTGACACCCCTAAACTTGGCTGTACTTAGCTACCATGAGGAACAGCACCTCCTCCTCTCCTTGATTCTGGTTAGTCCCTTTCCAAAGCCATCACCACCATTTGTGCTGCAAATTTCTGTGCATCCATTATTCATTGTGCGAAGCCTTCCATTTTCTTTGTCCTGAATCAGGAGGCCAATCAGTTCCACCGGGGGAGTGGTGTCCATCAGTTCTGGTTTGAGGAAATTCTCTCTGTCCACTTAATTCAGAAAAATGCAAGCTTTTTGTAAACCTCACCCATATCCCCGTCCCCCATTTCTTCCTTTTTTGGGTGCTAAACCATGCCTTGTGTTCAATTTAGAGCTTGATGTGTTACTCTTTCTTTCTTTCTTTCTTTCTTTCTCTCTCTCTCTCTCTCTCTCTCTCTCTCTCTCTCTTTCTCTCTTTTAAAAAAATTCAGTGGAACAACCACTGGTGACAAATAATAGCATTGGGGGAGGGGTTGCAATCTTCAGCAGCTCCTTCTACACACCCTAATTCTCCCCAGATCATCTACCCTGCTAAGAGCAGCCCTGGGTCTCCCTCCTTGCACCACCAAGTGGGGGGAGCAGCAGAGAGGGAGACCCTTTCCTGTGTGTGGCTGGTGGCCTGTTATCTAAGAATACCCAACAGCACTGTGTCTGAGGCCCTATCCTGGAAGCTCAAGTGGGTGATCTAGCTGATCTTTGGGGAAGGGAAAGGACCATATCTCAGTGGGTAGAGTGTTTGCCTTACAAGCAGAAGGTCCCAAGTTAAATCCCTGATGGCATCTCCAGATAGGATTGGGAGAGGCTCCTGGCCTGAAATTCTGGAGAGCCACTGCTGCCTCCTGGGAGATTATTTTAACAGAACACCCTCCATTTTAACTTTTCAAAGCCCATGATTGAGTTTCCATGTGATTAAAAAGCCTCCAGGTGACTGCAGCAAGTGGCATTTCCAGCAACTGCTACTGCCACCTTTTTTGGAGCCCTATCTCATAGAATTGCAGAGTTAGAAGGGATCTGAAGGGTCATCTAATCCAGTCCCCTGCAGTGCAGGAATGCCATCTGTTCCTACCCACTCAACCATCCTCTCTCCAGAAACACTTGCAGCAGGCAAGCAAACCAGCAAGTTGGCAATTTGCTGTCACAGTCTTTGGACTCGGAGCCATACTACATCCCCTACATACAACTTGAAACCCTCACTGCTGCTTCCTGTGTGCATTATCTTGTTTGGGGAGTTACAGGTTTCTTCCAAGCTCACCCTTAGGAACCTGGCCACCCTACAAGGGCATGTCACTTTAGGGGATGAAAATTTTTGTAAATTTCTTTTAAAAATGTTTTGGGGTGAGAAGAATTCAAATCTGCTATTTTTGTGATTGGACAATATTTTGCTTAGTCAATCTACATTTGATCAAAAAGCAGCACATGAACTGCTCTCAGGAAATCAAAGAATTTTAATTTTACCTTCAGAAAATGTCAGGTAAGGCTATAAAAAAACTTTATTTCTTGGCATAAAACATATCCTACTAGGCATACAACATTACCTTGTAATCATAAAACAACATTAGAAAGTAATGACATCAGTTAATAAGAAATTTAAGCAACAAGTTTCATCAAGTCTTGCTTTCATTTGTTATTTGACATTATTCGCCAACTTGTTTCTTGGCCTCTAATGTAGCCCTCATGTTTATCCTGTATATACACCCTACCTGATGCCACTGTGAGTTGTTCCACACACCTTTGTGTAGACTGGGCATGACAGAGCCACCATGGAAGTTGCATGGATTCGTCAGTGAACTTCTTTACTTCCACTGTAAAGACCCCATCAGACCTCCCTGTCAGACCAGTCTTTCAGCTCCAACTAGGATGAAACACTAGGGTTGATGGAAGCTGTCTTCATCAGATATACAGAAAGATCTTCCAGAGTGTCATCATCTCCACCTCTCAAGTCAACAATCTTTTGAACACCAGCTCTCCTCACTGTCATCTGATCACAAGAGTGTCTGGATTATCAGCTTCCTGAATGCACACCATGCTGAGTGTTGGATGGGTGGCAAAACTATAACCTATAATCCACTATAACCTTTTTTTGCAGCCTTGCTGCAGCTGAAACAAGATGTGGCGTGGACCTTCCACCCAAGAGCATTTTACTTTGATGTTGAACCAGCAGGGGTAGTACACACAAATGATGTATTCCTCTATCAGTCTTAAGTTGTGGAGGGTTTTTCCTCCCAAGGCCGTGTTTTGAAACCCACATGCAACAAAGCCTACTCGCTATTGTTAACTACCTTGAGTGACTCCCTGGACCAATTTCAAGAAGGGCCAGATCCACTGGAAGTTTTCCTGTCCTTAGGGCCTGACACCTCTGGCTTCTCTCCCTACCTCTAATTCTAGACTTAACTGCCTTGCTATGAATGAACGTTTGCTGCTGGTTGACAGGGTTGGGAAATTATTTTGCTCACAATTGTGACTGGGCTTTGCAGCACAGAGTTTTCTGCTTCCTCATATCAACACCGCTATTCTGCTTATACAGTTGTATAATTTGATCCTAAATGTATTTCCATGACTTCTTTTGGATCTCTGAGTGGAGAAGGCAGTGGGCCAGGTCCACATCAGGCATCACTCAAAGCAGGATTCCCTTAAATAGTATTGTGGATCTGGGTCTTATGACCACTCCATAGCTCACAGGGTGGACATGCCTGACGCACACCGTGGTCACAGGATAAGGACTTCAGAAGAGTCCTACTGAATCAGGCCAAGGGCCTATCCAGTCCAGCATCCTGTTCTCACATTGGCCACCCAGATGCCAGCTCAGTCTACCCAGCCAGTGGATGTTCACTGTCTCTGTAACCAATGAGCTGTACCCAATAAAGTCATGGCTTTTATGACTCCACCTTGACCCATTTGTAGTTCTTTCTCCCGGAAAACTACCCTGGGTTGCAAGGACTCCTAAACAAAAATTCTCAAAGGCTTTATCATTTTTCCCACACATAGGAGATTCTTCAGACTCTAGCTGGCTCTGGTTCCCCTTTTCCTAACATTACAATATCCATTAGAGATGGGACTGCCAGAAGTGTATATAATGTTGTAGAAATGTGCACTTACACAGGAATAACCAGATGCACAAATATAGGGTGGGGGACACTTGGCTTGCGAGGAGTACATGCAAAAAGGTTCTCAGGGCCTTGGTAGATCATAAGCATAACATGGGTCAGCCGTGTGATGCAGCAGCCAAAAAGGTTAATGTGATTTTGGACTTCATGAACAGAATTCTAGATCCAGATCAAGGCAAGTCATAGTACTGCTCTGTGTTGCCTGGGTCAGATTCCACCTAGAGTCCTGTGTCCAGTTCTGGGCACGCCTGTTGACGGAGGAAAATAGAAGCTGTGCAGAAGAGAGCGACCAAGATGATTAAGAGTCTGAAAACCATGTTTTATGAGGGATGGTTGAGGAAGTTGGGTACCGTATTTTTCGCCCTATAGGATGCACTTTTTCCCCTCCAAAAATGAAGGGGAAATGTGTGTGCGTCCTATGGGGCGAATGCAGGCTTTCGCTGAAGCCTGGAGAGCGAGGGGGTCGGTGCGCACCGACCCCTCTCGCTCTCCAGGCTTCAGGAAGCTACCCGCTAGCCGTGGGAGCCGCAGCTCTCCCACGGCTAGCAGAGACCTTGCCTGCACTCAGAAGATTGGGGCGCGCTGAGCACAGCACGCCCCAAGCTTCGGGCTCACGCAGCGCTCCGCTAGCCATGGGAGAGCCCCACGAAGTCGCACTGCTCTCCCACGGCTAGCGGAGACCTTGCCTGCACTCAGAAGCTTGGGGCGCGCTGAGCTCAGCACGCCCCAAGCTTCGGGCTTTGCACAGCGCTCCGCTAGCCGTGGGAGAGTCGCGCGACTCCGCGTGGCTCTCCCACGGCTAGCAGATAGCAGCCTGTTCTGAGGGCTGGGGTCGGTGGAAGCTCGGGCTTCCCCCGCCCCAGCCCCGCACCTGGGGGGGGAAATAAATTTTTTTCTTTATTTCCCCCCAAAAAAACTAGGTGCGTCCTATGGGCCGGTGCGTCCTATGGGGCGAAAAATACGGTATGTTTAGCTTGGAAAAGAGGAGAGTGGAGGGAGATAGGATAACCATCTTCAGATGTCTGAAGGGCTTTCTCATGAAAGATGGAACAAGCTTGTTTTATCCTGCTTTGGAGAGTAGAACCTGAACAAATGGATTCAAGTTACAAGAATGGAGATTCTGACTAAACATCAGGAAGAACTTTCTGAGAGTAAGAGCCATTAGAGAGTGGAAATAAATCCCTTAGAAGATAGTGGACTCTCATTTGGATGTTGTTAAGCAGAGGTTGGATGGCCTTCTGTCAGGGATTCTTTAGCTGTGAATTTTGCACGGAAGGGCTTGGATAGGATGACCCGCAGTTCTCTGATTCTGCGAAATACAATAACACCATCTGTTGGTGTGATGAAATTATATAAATACTGTGTATGCGATTTATAAATAGCAGATTTATATAATGCCATTGATTTATATTTACTCTGTTTCCTAATTCATCCCTAGTATGCCCTTTTCACTGTTGCTGCACACTGAGTTGACATTTTCACCAATCTATCTGACATGACCCCCAAATATATCTTTCCAGTGTTAGTCACTCACTGCTAGTTCTGATTCTATCATAGTACATGTGAAATTAGGAAATGTTTGCTCCAGTGCTCATCATTTTCCACTTATTTACATTGAAACCCATTTGACACTTTGCAACCACCCACTTGAGCAGTGGCGGACCCTGGGGTCTCAAATATCATCAGCACCCTGTACGACACCAGAATTCAGCACACACACCCCACCTCTACACCATAGTTGTGGCACCCCTGAGGGTCTACACTCTGGGTAGGTAAACTAAGACCCGTGGGCCAGATCCGGCCCAATCGCCTTCTAAATCCAGCCCGCGGACAGTCCAGGAAACAACGTGTTTTTACATGAGTAGAATTTGTCCTTTTATTTAAAATGCATCTCTGGGTTATTTGTGGGGCCTTCCTGGTGTTTTTACATGAGTAGAATGTGTGCTTTTATTTAAAATGCATCTCCAGGTTATTTGTGGGACATAGGAATTCGTTCATATTTTTTCCCCAAAATAGTCTTGCCCCCCCCCCCCAAGGTCTGAGAGACAGTGGACTGGCCCCCTGCTGAAAAAGTTTGCTGAACCCTGGTCTACACTCAGTGCAACCAAACCAATCACAATCCCCTAAATCCACCCCTGACTTGAGAGAGACTTTAGACCTCTTTGCACTCTGCATGGATGAATAATGGTGAATACTATACTTGACCATCACTCTGAAGAACTCTGATTGTCACTCAGCCTTCCCAAATTTCTATCAACTCCAGCCAATATGACTAATGGCCAGGCATACTGAAAGTTTAGCCCAAAGACTAAACTGGAAGGCACTGGATTTGGAAAGACTGCTGTAGGTTATTTGTGAAAACATTAAAGTATGCCAGTCCCAATTAGAATGAACGGGGGACCCCACTTCTTATATCCCTCTTTTATGAAAACTGCCCCATTTATTTCCACTTTCTGCTTCCTGTCCTTCATCCCTTCAACCAACCATAAGTGCAACCATCTAATGTTGCTCAGGAGCCTCTGGTGAGGAGATGCGTCAGAAGTCTTTTGAAGGCATTTTTAAAAATGAAAATAGCATGAGGAAGAGTGAAATGGGCACAATTTTTGCTCTCATGTACTTGCACATTTGTTCATTTGTGCAGCGAGTTCATTCATGCTGTGCATCACATCCAATAAACA